AAACTTATCTCTTCTATACTCTGTAAAGAGTTCTTGAACTTGTTTTTGTAAGTTGTTTAGTTGTAAAGGTGATTTCTTTTATTTTTTGACTGGTTTTTCTTTTTCTCAAAAAATTACCAAAAAAGAAAATTTTCTGAAAAATTGGGGATAATATAAAATAGAACCTAAAATATAGGTAATAGCTATTATAACTTTGAATCTGGCTATTTTTCTCCCATGCAAGTTTTACTTTATATTTAATTTATATTTCTATAATTTATTTAATAGTTTATATATATTTTTTAAAAATTTTAAAAATTTTTAATATATTTATAATTAATAAAATTAATAAATATAAAAATTTGTAATTTTAAATTATATTTTTAAAATGTAATTTTGAAATTACAATTTTAGATCCAAAAAATTTTTTATTTATCTTCAAAAATAATTATCTATATACTATATATAAGTTAAAAAATAAGTTTTTTTAAATGTTTTAAAAAAACTTAATTATTTAGAAACAATTTAGTTTTTCAAACAAAAAAAAATTTAATCAAGTAAATTTTTTTTTAAAAAAAAAGTTATTAAATTAATTAAGAATCTTTTATAGAAATTTTTTTTTTAATTTTTAATAAATTATTATTTTGAGAAACAATATGCAATATAATAGCGAATTATTGATAATAATTCAAATAGATAGAAATCAAGTATTAATCTATTAGAAAAATAAAATATTATTTTTAAATTTAATTTAAAATATCTAATTTAGATTTTATTTTGTTTGTTCAAACTAGTTTAAGGAATTACTTATATTTTTCAAGTAGTGTAATCCTTTAATTAATAATATAAAATGATAAGTTGTTATTATGCGAAAGTCAATATCGCAAATATTTATTTAATATATTAATAAAAGACATACCGTGATGATATAAAGTATATACTATACAGTATATCTAAATTTTGAATTATCAAGATTCCTTATATTCCTTATATAATTTTAAAATTTAAATTCAATAAATTATTTGCGAAATAATATATATATATATAATAATAATTAAATAAACAATAGCCATAATTAACATTAATAAAATAAAAATTTTCGTAATTATAAAAAAACTAATAAAAAAATCGCAATATTAAAAATAATGCATTAACTAAAGCACTTAATGCATCGCGTAACCTGTGATTTAACTTTAATGGGTTGATCTGTACAAAATAGGGAACAATAATACTAGTGTGTGTTCTTTATGAAAGCGTCTGTACAATGCATTTATAAATGGTATACTTTTTCTTGTTTAACAGAATAAATCGGAGATATCATTTTCGTTAAACAGAAATCCATGATTCTACAAATTGTAGTGCATTTATTAAAATTTAGTATGTATCTAGCCGCTGCAATGATTTTGATTGTAAACGTATAATAGTAAATAAAAATTCTCGAGCATTAGGTTAACCAACGACTAGTGTTTCGTTTAATTGATTACATTTAGATCGGGAATTTTGGGCTTCTCGTCAATTGGTTTCATGGCGGGGAAAAGAAGAACCTAGAAATACGAATATGAAAATTATTATAAAGGATTTCGAATCTAATATGGTCAACATAGAAGATCACAAACCTCTTTAATGTTTGAACTATCCGTCAGAAACATGGTAAGACGATCTATGCCCATCCCCCATCCGCCACTAATAATTTAAACAAATTAGACAAGAGTATTGAAATATTATTGTATATTGCAAAATCTCACGTTGGTGGAAGCCCATATTCTAAACTGGTACAGAAGGTTTCATCAATAAGTTGAGCCTCATCGTCACCCTGTTCTTTTTGACGAGCTTGTTCCGCAAATCGATCCCGTTGATCAAAGGGATCGTTCAACTCGGTATAAGCGTTGCAAACTTCCTTGGTCGCGACAAAAAGTTCAAATCTTTCACAAAGACCTTCGATCTCCCGGTGACCTTTAGCGAGAGGGGACATCATTTGAGGATGCCCGGTAATGAATGTCGGCGATATACAATCAACTTCAATATATTCTCCGACAAGCTGATCGGATCGGTATACACAAGTTAGCCAGATAGTATTATACATAATAAAAAACGAATTGAGCTGACCATACTTTATCTAATAGTCTTGCATTAGTCCTCGGTGGAGAACACTCTACTCCATGTTTTTGGCAGAGTTCTTGCAGGAACTTATTTGTTTCATCGGTGTGTAACTCCGAAGCTGGTGGAAATTTAGTACCCAATTTCTCTTCTAACGTTTCAATCATGCTAACTCTTTTGAAAGGTGGTGTGAAATCAATGTTCATCACAGGACCATCAGGACCGTGAGGATGGTAGACGACCTTGTAGCCACCAGTAATGTATTTTACCATACTAGATAACATGCTTTCAGTAATATCCATCAAATCGTACATGTCGGCATATGCCATATAGAATTCGCATGTGGTGAACTCGGGGTTATGAGTAAGATCGATAGATTCGTTGCGAAACTGGCGTCCGATTTCATAAACTCGATCAAGACCACCAACCACGAGCATCTTAAGGTACAGTTCTGGAGCTACTCTCATAAAAAGGTCAAGTTTAAGGTCATTATGATGAGTTATGAATGGTTTTGCTGTCGCGCCACCCGCGATCATGTTCATCATGGGAGTTTCAACCTAAGAACAAACATGAGAAAAGGTTACATTATTTAATACAATAACGATGATTAAAATGTTAGTGTTTTCTTTTTCTACCTCAAGAAATCCTAGGTTATCCAGGAAACGTCTAACATAATTTACAATCTTTGCTCTAACAATGAACTTTTCTCGAACAAAATTATTCATTATTAAGTCAAGGTAACGTTGCCGATAACGTGATTCCTGATCCTTGAATCCATAATGTGCTTTAGGCAACATGTGCAGACAAGGGGACAGAAGCTTAAGTTCCTTCGGAAAAATCGACAATTCCCCACGCTTAGATTTACCCGGACATCCGCGCACTCCAACGATATCTCCACGACGAATCGTTCCATGTGTTTCAATAAAGTCTTGTTCAGAGTCCCTGATGCAGTATTTTATGTATCAAATCACTTTGCATAACGATAAATTCTAAAATATTTCGATAGAAACTCACTGAGCTTGTGCCATCACTTGAATCTTGACTCCTTCGCCATGCAAATCATAAAACCTCAGCTTAGTCCCACTAGCCCTTTTATTATGAATTCTACCGGCAATTTGGACCACATCGTCCAAGTGCTGTCCGGGATCAAGGTGACTATATTTTTCAATAAACGCGGGAATCGAAAGATCCACATGAAATTTATGTGGATAGGGACTTGGATTACGAGCTTCACGAAGTTTTTGGATGGACTTTGAACGAATTTCAAAGTATTGCTATAATAAAAAGTATCGATACAATGGTATTACATACGGATGATTTTTTTTAAAAATCGATCCCAACTTTTCTTACATTAGGATTCAAATTTTCTTCCGATTGATTCTCTTCTTTAGTACTCATCGTCTAAATCCTCCGTATGTATAGCAAAAAAAAAAAATTATCCCGCTTATATTTATTTAGGTTGGACAATCTGCCAATCATTGCTATTTTCATTAACGTGTCATTTCGAGTCATCGTATTTCAAAGCCAGTTCCAACTCGCTGAAAAAAAAATTTGAGATGTGTTCTATCCTAGGTTAGAATACAAATTACAATTTATGCGGATATAAAGAATAAATAATATTATTAATGCTATAGTTATGTGCAGTGTACCGTATTCCGAGTAAATATTCTGGTTAAATTTACTAATGATGATGCTAAAATCATGTGACTTAAGAAAAAAATATATACTGTATTACATTTAAAAAATTTACTTTTTTTTTGCCCTCTGTCAGGCTAGTTACATATGCTTTATTAAACATTTATAAGTTGTACATATAATATGAGATGCTAAAGTTAATTCTTTAACCAACTCACTCATTTTGGTTTAAGTACAACTTTACAAGTAATTTATCACTTTATTAAGAGTTCAGATAAATACCCTTTCAACTTCTAACATCATTGCCTGCAGATTATTACTGCAGATCACTTTTTTGAGTTCTGACAGATATTAAAATCCAACCTTTTCATCCCATGCTTTACCCCATCTTGCAGGACCTGTTTGAGTATCATATTTTTTGATTCTTTAATAATACTTGATATGACTGATTTCCTGATACCTTGACCTTGTTTTTTCGTTTCTATAGATATGTCAGCCTTTTGATCTTGTCATTTTTATTGATTCCTAATATCTGTTTCCACTCTATCATCTTTTTACATCTGATATTTCAAATTTTTTTTCTGAAGTGATTATGTGTTTTCTTCTGCATCTTCATTATCCATTTTTTTACTTCTTTATCAATTCTCTTTCCATAACACTTCGAGTCTATTATCTCATTCATTAGGTCTTTTTTAATTAGTTCCATGCAGAAGCTAAGTATATCCTGATCAGTATTTGAGATCTTTTCCATTAGTTGAGCTATTTTCTTATCCATTTCTCCTCTTTCCATTCAGTTATCAACTATCAGGCTTATCTCTTTTTCTTCTGACTCCTTTTTCCTATCTGCCAGAAGTTTGTTAAAACTTTATATCATATCTTCTATACTCTTTTGCCAAGTTTTTTATTACTGAGTTTTATATACTAGACATTCTAGCAAGTGTTCTATTGTCTCTTCTTGCTGTTCATATGTAAGACATTTTACTTGTTTATATAAGTTTGATCTTCTTGTGGCTAACTTTGTTAATGTGAGTAGCTCGTCACTAGTCATCTTAATAAGAAAGCTTTTTTTTTGTTAATCCTTTAAATAAGGTATTCCATATATGCCTATTATTTATTTGTTCCAAAACTAGGTCCTATGTGTGCCTGTACTAATCTTGAATTTGATGATTCCATTTTTTGTCTATTCTATTTTGGGTTGTCTATTGGTATATCATTATTTTGACATTTGTTTTTTTTAACAAACTGTCTTATTGGAGCATCCAACACTATATCTTATTATTTGATTTTGCAATAATCTTAGATGAGTCCAGATCTTGCTATTCTATTGTTGGGAACTTTAATGCTTTTTTGGCTAGAATATTAGCTTACTCATTGTATTGAATGTTGAAGTGTGCTTTAACCTTGATAAGATTTGAATCTAATTCTTTTTTCTTTACTAGGCTTAACATTTGTGCTCACAAGGAGCAATTTTGTTCCTTTAACCATTTTTGTGAGTTTTTTTGAAATCCTCTTTTACTATAGTTTTCTATTTGGAGATACAGGCTTAACTATCAGTGTGGATCTTGACCTTGCTGTTAATTGGTACTATTAGTAGTATAGTGACTATCACTGTTAATTCTGCTCTTGTGAACAAAGACCAATTAGCTACATCTGCTTGGAACTTACTTTTTCTTTCTACTTATCCAATTAGTATCTATGCTGCACTCATCTTCATATTTTTATTTCCATAATAGATAAGAGATCTATCCAAGTAAAAGGTTATTGGTTTATTGCTATTATCCGTTTTGTTATGCCTGAGTATTTCAATCAGATAGATTTGATATGCATATACTTTAATATTCTCTTTAATGGGTTTCTCCTCCCAATTCTCTATCTTTACTTCTTTCAATTACCTTCTATCATATTGTATAGTTACTAAGTCTATATGAACTGTTCTACTTATTGATTCCTCTAGGGCTACCTTGGAACAAGGAATTTTTAAAAGGTAAGCTCTTTTTGTGGATTTTCTAGTATTAAGATAAGAAACCATATATGTTTGTTCTATGTTTGCTTTTACTATACATTGGTTTTCAGTAATGATCCCTTCTAGACAGCCCTGGCATTGCATCAGGTTTGATCCTAAGTTTTCCTTGGAGCTGTCACATTTGAAGTAATCTATTTTAATACATCTTTTATTGTTATCTAGAATTAACTTTCCCCAAACAAGTTGTCATTGCTAATTATTGCTCTTGGTAACCACTCAAAGTTTTTACTTTTTATTAAGGTTAAAATTGAGTATTAAATATTCTGGACTCCATTTTAACCAATCTTCTTTTAAAGTTCTTGTGAGCTATTCTAGTTTGTTTCTTTGTATCTCCCTTGTTATTGACAAGTACTATTCTAAAATGGATCCCTTACTTGTCTTTTATAAGAATTGAAGCATTCACCAATCCAATACTTCTTTAGTTTCATAGTTGATAAGCTGATCCATGTATATCAACTTATTGTGTTTGAGTAATAGTATAGCTTTACTATATTCATTTGTTGTCAAATGATCTTTAATTGAACTATTTCTGGTACTCCAAATAAAGACATTATTCCACTTCCAGCTATTAAAAGTTATCTTCATATCTTTGATCAATTTTAGTATTTGTAATATAAAGTTGCTCCTTTCTGGAAGATGGTTTAGTGAGTTACATGTGAGCAGGTTGAGAAGTTCCTAGTACTTAATTTGTGATTGCTTTAACCTAATAATTGTTGTAATTTTGACTAACCATAAGTTATTTAACCTATTGCATAATTCTATTATCTGACTTTCTTTTTGCAACATCCAAATACTCTTTAAATTGTAAATTCTGGGATAATGTATTACACAATTAGGTATGGATCAACATAGTATGGTCTTATTTTTGAATGATTTTCTATATGCCATTGTCAGAATATTATACATTCACCAGGATAGTATACTATGCTGCATTCTGAATTCGATTCTAGGTATTAAGACTCTATTCAGAATATAAAGTGCTTGTTTGTTGATTAAACTTTTTATTCTTTAGGAACTTGATAATCATGTTGATTTCTTTAAGAATCCGTTCTTTGGGCTCAATAGTTGATTTCTAATTACCTATCCAGATCCCTAGGAATTTTGCTGTTCAGCTCTATCCAATTCTCTAACTACTTCTCTATCAACCCTTGCTTAGACCTCTTCGGGATATTGGTTAGAATTGTAATTAATACTAATTTGTTACTATTAATCTGTAAATCATTTGCCCTGTAAAAGATTCTTGCTTCTTCCAGAATCTTTTTCATATGCTCTTTGGATTTTGCTATCTATATTGTATTATCCATGAATGCAATAGCTACATGCCTTGACTCTAGCTTTCTTTCAGTATTTTTCTTTAAATCTGGATCCCAAATCACTAATATTTTGTAATCTTTTGTTTTATCATTCTAAATCTTGCACAATAAAGGGTCATAGAATATGCTCCATATTAGTGATGCGATGGTTTTTTCTTGATCAATTCTATCTCCTGTTATGATTATTTCAGTTAGATTTATCTCAAATATAACCCTAAATTCTTGATTTCGAAATAGACTTATAAAAATTTAAATAAAGCCTTCTAGTATCTTGATTCTATTCATTGACTTAATTAACATATTCAGGTCAATAGTATTATATACTTTTGCTGTGTCTTGAAAAAGTATCTATAACTCCTTTTTATTTTCTCTTGCTTCCTTACAAATGTTATTGAGAATTTGAATCAGTTCTGCTATATTTTCTCCTGATAATCCTGCATAATTAGGTCTCTTAGGATATTGTTGATCTTGCAGATATTTCTTAATCTGTTTGTAATAATTTTGGTAAAGCATTTTCATGTGACCTCCAGCAATACTATTGGTCAGGTGTTGAGGAGTTCACATTCCCATGGTTTTGGCTTTGCTATAGGATATATATGACTTTGCTTCCATTCTATTGGAATAACTTCCCACCTTAGAAAGCAGTTAAGCATCTTTCTAAGATATTCTTTTTCTTCATAACCCAGTCTTTTTAGCATTTCATAATTAATTTGTAATTACCCTGGGGCTTTATTATTGAGAAGTTCTTGAAACATTTCATATAGTTTTTCTTGAGAAATTGACTCCAGTAGGTCTTTATACTACCTTTTATTAGTATAGTCTTTAGGATTGTATTCTTCTTTCCAATTTTCTGTAAGGCTGTCAAAATTGGTATTTCGTTTTTTGAATATCTCATGATGATATCTTCTTATTTCTCTTTCAATTTCTCTTTTCTTAGTAGTTATATATTCCTTTTTTATATCTTTAATCTTGATTCTATCCAATATTATTTTGACTCACTCTCTGTCAGTCAAAGAGTTTATTATTCTTCTTTGATTGCTACATAAGTCATCACATTTCTATTTCAAGGCTTTTTTTATAGCATCTCTTGTTTTTTTGACCTCTGTATTCCGACAAGCGAGTTTTAGGCCTTCTATTGCATTCTATATATCCTTTTTTAATAGTTTTTATGGAATTTGAGAAATGCTATATTAGATGCAATAGTTTTTAATCTGGTGATTAGGACTGAAGCTAGTGTTATGTTTCCTAATCACCATGTTAAGGGCTTGCAATTTGATTCAATCATATATACTTCTGCCTTCTTAAAGAGTGTGAATAGTTGAAGGGCTCTCTAATACTTGATAAATTCTGGTTCATGCCTATGATGTTTTTCTTGGGAAGCAGCTAGCTTCTTTGAATCTTAAGCTTGTTATATGCTGCCCTGCATATTT